ATATATATATATACGGACAAAAGTAGTATTAAGAAATTCTGCACAAATTGGATATTTTCGACGTTCGTGGCTATCGCACGCGTTAAAACTATTACTATATAGTATATATATATATATATTCTGCCTTCGACGTATCTGTCCGTCACTCGTCTGTCTCGGATAAACGATGAACCTTGTAAATTCGAGTATTTTTTTATTATTGATCTCGAGGAAACACACATAGACATACAGACACGTATACATATAATACGAGGTGTGAAAATGAAAAGGCACCGCACGAATGTAAAGGGGGAGGGGAGAAAGTGTATGTATGGATGTATGTATGTATATATATAGTTATTATACTAATTTTAATAGCAAATTATGCACACGATCGATTTTATTAATCGTGTAATAATATTTTTATCTGACCTGTGGCGTTGTTGTTGTTGTTGTTGTTTTTGCTTTTGCCTCACTTGCACGGGGCGTGCGAACACACTACACCCGCCACCACCGAACCACCACCACCAACCACTTCACCTGTGCTACCGTCTCGTTGGGGCCCGATGCATCTTCTTCGAACGCACCCCCGTACTACTACTACTACTACTACTACTACTACTACTATTACTACTGCTACTGCTACTACCACCACCACCAACCATCACTACTATTACTACTGCGTCACACCCACGCCGCGAAACGACCGACAATCTCGAACCGATCGTATATCTCGCCCCCGGGCCTTCTCGACCTCCACCCTCCACCTCCACCGGCGTGTTGCGTCGCGGATATACCACCGCTTCTCCACCCCTTTCGAGCGCCTCGCAGGTGGCCACTTGGTACAGGGTACGTCTTCACTATTACTAACTAGCATGCATCCAACCCCCCTATGCAAATGTATCGAGGAAAGAGAACAACCCCTCCACCCGGCTTCTCTTTCGATCGTCTCTCGATCCTCTTCTTTTTTTTTTTTTTTCTTCTCGAAGCCGAACGAGAGAGGAAACGATCACCTTTTTCTGCATGGCGAAACGAACCACCCCTACAACCCCTCCCCTCTTGGTTTCGAAACCAAGCTCGCCCCGAGAAAATCGAATGAAGGAAACTTAGAAGAAGGAGGAGGAAGGAAATGGAAGAGATCTTCTTTTTTTCTTTCTTTCTCGCTCGATTCGAAATTTGGATTAATTGATTCGATGAAAGAAGAAGGGAATAGAATTCGATGAGAAGAGAGAGAGAGAGAGGGGGGACGGTTTAATTAACCGTGGAGGGGGAGAATCGATGACACCGTCCTTATCGATGGGGGTCGCGACAACGACGAGGCAGAGTTATTTCGAGC